ACGAACTGCGCTAGCTGCTCGCACGACGAGGTCATGGTGATGCCGGGGCGTTGGAACGAGGATCATGGCTGGCGGGGTGTTGATACATGAATTGTGCTGCAGTTGCTATTGTCGCTGCCATTACTCTTGCTGCTACACTTGTTGCCATGTTTGCTGCTTGCTACTGCCGCGTGTTGCTGCTACAGTATTGCTGGTGCTCTTGCAACTATTGCTGGTGCTGTTGTTGCTATAATATGGCTGAGGCTGTCGTTGTCCACGAAAAAAGGCGTCCCAACCTCTGCCTAGTACTTTTGGTGCCAAGGATGTCAAAACACGAATGCCGACTACCCAGAGCGTTCCTCAGACAACTCAGACGATGTGTTTTTCTAGCGGAACTACGTCAAAAAGACTGGTACATTCAAAACGGCTCTTTTCAGAGCACCCACTTATGACGTCGCCATTGCTCAATAGGATTTATTTTATGACAGCGCAACATGGTTGACCTGTATCTACCAGTTACACAGACACGTTTTGAGCGGCCAATACTCATGTTTTCCATGCCTTAGCTGCTAGAGCATTGACCAAGCGTCCTCGAAAGGACGAAGTACTGTTCCCGCAGGACCGATGGCCAACCTTCCTAACCTGCGAAATAGCTAGGGGGNGGGGGGGGGGGGGGGGGGGGGGGGGGGGGGGGGGGGGGGGGGGGGGGGGGGGGGGGGGGGGGGCACCGAAAATAGGGGCATGGCAGAGGAGAGGGTACCCTACCTTCCCGGGGTCTTTTCTGTCGACCATGCTCAGGGCGTTGAACGCTGCCAGCACTTGGCTCGGGTCCTGCAAGATCGAACCGGAGATCGCAAAAGCACCAATAACGAATGTCATGGTTAGGTGGGGGGGGGCGAGAGAGCAAGTGGTGGATCGGGGGCGTCCGGAACGTGGAACAAAAAGGGAGACATGAGAGCAGTAGGATAGGATGGCGTAGTTAGTGTCGTTTGGCGTGGGTGGCGAAACCTGGTTAGGAAATCACGGTGGCGAGCGAGCGAGAAGTGGAACATAGACACACGAGCACGCCCATATGCACATCCATCAAACACGTTCAAAGGGGCGTTTAGAAAAGCTCACATCCACAAACACTTGGATAAGCGCATCCACCAGCAGGCAACAGCCGGCGGCGATACAACTCTGCAACAGAGGTCTCTGGAGGGACTATTGTCAGTCTTCGGAGGAAGCACCACCCCACTTGCTAGCGCAAGATCCAGCAGCCGCAACGAGGGGAATGAAAACATGAACAGAACCCATCTCCCTAGCAATGGTCTCCATTCGCTCCTGCCCGTGAATACCCTAACTATTCCTCATGCTACCCCCAGTCCGACCGCGTCAGCCCGCTTTTGCAGTCTGGCCACTTTCAATCCCCCATCTCACTCCTCGCTTGTCCCTGAACCTTACCGTATTGTAGCACAACCCCGTCGACAGACGTTCCTCCTCCTGTCTCATCTTCAACCATATTGGCCGATTTGAAACCAGCTGATCGATTTCTATCCACCAACAACAAATCAACACCAATCCCCAAGCTGGACCCTCGCCGTGGTCCAAACCCTCCTCTTCCTCCGAACGCATCAAATACCCTGCAAAAATGTCTGCGTACCTTCTTCATGGGCATGTCCACGAAAGTCTTGCTGTCGGGAAAAATCCTGGCCGATTGCACCGCCTCCAGCAGGGGGCCGTCGCAGTACACCCCCCACGCGCTACTGCCTCTGCCCCCGCCGCCGCCACCGCTGGACTCCTTGGAGCGCCAGGCAGCCGCCGGCGCTGGCCCTTCAACCTCGATGGCCGTCCCGTTGTCAGAGAGGGGGGCGACGTTGATCTCGACGTGGCTTGGATTGGGAGCGCACCCGTTGTCGAAGCTCGCTTCGGGCTGGATTCCTCCCGAAGCGGGAGGGCGGGCAGGAACAGGAGGCGCCATTTGCTTCCTGTGTATCCCACAGGATGGTGGGAAGCGGACGGAAAAGGTTATAGGTAAGGAGCGGATGGTAGACGGGTGTGTGGCTTGTCGGTGCATACCGAACAGAGGGTCCAGGCGACCCCTTCCACCGTAAGCCAATCTATCAGACCACGCTAGGACATGTACCGGTAGCACCCGTGTAACGATGACGCGGGGTGGGGGTTGTACTCATAGCCGCGTATGCCTTGGTCGTCAAGCCGGGTTCTCACAGGACCAGGAACTGTTACATCACCAAGCGCCAAGAGCCGTGACGTACTCGGGGAGTCGCACGGACGGTGCGCTGCATCCTGCGAAGGGTTGTTCGGCATCTTCTGCTTACTTTTTCTTGCATATTACGGTAAAGGCGGGGGGTGTCAACAGTGCTTCCGGATGTACAGCACTAGCGATGAGAAAATAACGGAGGTCTTGCATTCGAACATCAATATAGCGTAGATGACATGACATGAGATATCACACCCCCTGGATCGATTTCTAAGAAGGTTGACTTTTGTATCAAGTATTCCACAAAGAAAAGGATTAAACTTTTGGTTGTGGTTTCGGAAAGCTCTCGACGAGACGGTTCCCGCACCGCTGTTGTCGGCAGCACCACTGCTGTTTCTGCCCGTGTGGTGCAACCGAAATCGAGCTTTAGAATTGGTCCAATCCGAAGTCGCTTACGGTAGTTGTGGAGACTTTCCACACCCTGTACGACTTTAACTAACACAAAGTTAGTTGTTTGCCAGGCAACTACCGGCTGGTTGCTCGTAAACACCTAGTTGCGCACGCTCCTGGACGAGTAGTTGTCTGCAGGAAACTAGGTGCGCACGCTCCTGGAAGTTAGTTGTCTGCACGCCACTACTGTAGGTGCACACGCTCCTGGAAGAGATGTAGTTGCCTGCAAGCAACTAGGTGCGGACGCTCGTGGAAGAGTAGTCGTCTTCAGGCTCAACTTTCTTATTTCCGCATTCCAGTCGACTTCCTGTCACCTCTCTCCCACATAGCCTTTGGGCGTGTACATTACATACACCCATGCCGTGCACAGCAGTTCTTGTGCCTGGAATCTCGCCTATTATTGTCCGCTCATGCTCATCATCCAACATCATCTACAAAATGATCGTGCCCATCAGGCTTGAGCGCTGGGCGAATGAGCTGTGTCTACAAGCAGGGTTCAACCGCAGCAAGTACGCTGGTCTCGCGCGATGTTGGTACGTGCTACCGTGTTCTCAACTTATATGCCGCACCGTGGAGAGGGTTGAGCATGTGCACCACGAGGTCCATCTACTTAGTGACGTCTACAGCAGAATACTGGCTCGTTGGCCTACCCGTGGCATGCAAAAGTCCATCATTCAAACCATCAAATTATGTTCAATGATACTAATAATGACAAGATCGTTGTTTGCCAGACAACTACCGGCTAGCTGTTCGTGAACACCTAGTTGCGCAAGTTCCTGGAAGAGTAGTTGTCTACAGGCGACTAGGTGCACATGCTCCTGGATTTCAAGTTGTCTGCACAGGCAACTAGGTGCGCGCGCTCCTCTGCCCCCCTACACGTACTGCCGCTGACGCCACTGTAAAAAGGGTGTTTGCCCGACCAGAGATAAGGTGCCCCAAGCCATACATCCTGACATGTGGTGCCCACAAGTGATTCTTTTCTTAATATTCTGCATTTTTCTAGGCGAAGCACGGGGATTTACCTTCGGATCGGCCGACAACAAAGTACAAACCTAACTTCCAAATGTGGTCTATTACGCATCATCGATCTATGTATCCGACGGCACTCGCACGTAAACGTCGCAGAAGCCCTAAGAGCAGGGGGAGGACTCTGCCATGCCTCAAAGTTAGTGTATGTACACCACACGCCCCCTGGGCCCATTTTGAAAACTCCCGCCGATTGCTTCACACCTTTAAAAATCAGAATGAAGGGCAGCGTTATTGCAGGATGTGCCAGTATTTTTATATTTTCAAGGCTATCTCCAGATACCATACGATACATTGCAACGTTCAGCAGTTGTGCCATGTTGACGAATTGCAGCAATCGAGGGCTTTGCCGAACGTATCCTCCAACACCAATACATTGCAACTCGTTCGTTAATTGCGCAATCCAATATTGAGTCTGTGTGTACTCACGAATATGTACACTGCTGCCAAGGTTGTTGGCCATGTGCCAATTTATTTGCTGGACAACAGGGTGCTGAAAAATGGTGCTGGACATGTACTGGAAACGCATAGATCTAAGAGTATGATGTCGGCTACATGTACAGCAGCACTATGCCCGGATCTGGGACAAAGGGAGAGTATGGGGCACACGTGTAGGCGATGCTGAGGGTATAGCCCGGCCACAGTCGACAGGTTTCTGCTGGCGACGGCCGAATCCCTCTCCGTCCTGCTGTACTGGCCTGTAGTTGCAGTTGACTACCGAAGCAGCAGCAGTGCAGCAGTGATGTGCTCTTTTGACTTGACACAAACACCCAGACAACAAAAATCGTGGATTGGGAAACGAATTTCCAAGCCTCTTCTTGGGATGCACCGCAGCACACGTGTTCAAACCCACGTAAGATTCAGGCTTGCTGCTCTTTACCCCCTGTAACACACGTGTGTCCGGGTGACAATGCACAGCAAAAAAGCAGAGGTAATGCTCGATCGAGGAGACCTGTTAACTTTCGGGAAAAAACGAAAGTACGTTGTAGTACGTGATGCGTGAACTCAGGTCACAGGTTGAAAAAATCGCTTCATTTGCTCTCGTTAGACACTGCTTGCTGCTACTCCTATCACACCACCAGTGGCGTTATCGATCCAACTCTCGACCCTCCTCACCTCTGGATGACGGTCGTTCCGGGCACAGCAGTGAAGCGCAAACTATGGTGGTGAGCGTCCACTATTTTGCAGACCAGCTTGTGCAGACCCTGACTGCTGCTCGGAGAGCTGTGATGTGTCACACGATTTACGAAATAAAACGAAAAAAAATAAGTGGTTCGTCACAGGTATCCCCTCAATCTTATCTGACGTGCCCCTGCAGCACATTGCAAAAATGCTGTACTGCTGTCACGCAGCAGCACTATCACAGCAGCATCCTCTACATCCAACAACTAGGTGAGACCTCTCGGAGACAAGGCCCGTGAGGAGAGATGCGATAATTTCCAAGCGCGCATCCCACCGGTTGTTTATTTCCTCCTCCATGCGACAGCAGCGTCATGTGATGGTGTTCGTTCTTGTTGTCACTATTGTCGTTTTGTGCGAGTATTTTTCCGGGTATTGAAGTTCGGGGTCGTGTGACCAGTTTCAGCCTCGTTGTGCAGCGAGCCCTCTCTCTCGCGCGCGCACAACTCGCACAACTGCGTGTGTGCCGCACAGCTCGCCTTGTGCGTGGCGCGCCCGACGTTTGAGGGCGAGTATCCGCCTCACGTGTGGGTAGCAAGAGATCAATAGTTTGGAGGTCTTAAAAGAAATAGAGCTATTCACGTATGACTTGTATGAATAGACTAGTCCAACGAGGCGTGTGTGTGCAGCCGTTCACGATCGAAGCTATACATACTTCTAAGCATCATCGCTTTCCTTGCGACCAAGCGAGAGGTGCCTGATACACAGCAGCATATATATACGGCCGATTCCCAATGTTTGGGTGGATACAGACCACGGCCGTGTTACGAGCTACCACTTTTCGTATGCCTGTCCAAAACTCAGAATCCGCCCTTGGAATTGCTTGCTCAAAAATCTCGAAAATCCCGCCCATTTTCCAGACTCGAGACCTTGCTCACGACAAGCATGGATGAAGCAGTAGGGGGGGGCGGTTAAGCGACCCCTCACGTCACGACGAAATGTGGCCGCTATTCAGGGCAGGCCGCTAAACTGAACTAGCGACTATTTTGTAGCAGTCTTGGTACCGGGGTGCCGCGGTGCCACGTGATTTTGTGGTCGCCAAAACAGGGCATGACGCGAAGCAGGGCATGTCGCTACCCCCACTGCTGTATGTACGTCACCGGTTGCATCTGTCTGTTGCTGTGATTTTACTTTTAGAAATCATGTCTCTTCAGGGCAGAGGTCGCACTTGTCGCACAGCAGTTATGCTCCAAAAGCTGCTACCCATGTACCTATTATGCCGATCCACCTTACCCGTTGAGCAAGACAGAAAACTTGTACAAGTATCGTCGTGGCTCCGACAGGGTGGTGTGACAAGAGGACCTCGACCCTGTTACATGTAGAGTGTTGGATGTTGAAACCCCCTCGCATTATCTTGTTTTATCCGAAACAAGAAGGTACCCGCCTAAAACCATAGGGGGGCCGAGTCCGTGACAACCTATGTCGACCCTCTTCTACAGGAGCCACGGGTGCTGTGCACATAGGCATGCAATCCCAGAGATACTAAAAACCGTTCGAGATAATTGTACTGACTGTAGGGTGTATGTAAAGCAGTTGAGCAGGGTGTGATCCTAGTCTTGGCAGTGAGTGGGAGAGAACACCTGCTGGATACGTGGCTTATTTTGAGTCCAAGCCTAGGTGTACATTGAATTTTCAGAAGTGACGCTGTTCGTGCTTCAGTTCTGAAACGTACAATGCACACGTGTACTCTTCAAGTCTTGAGCTACCGTCAGCTGTAACACCTGCCTGCGGTGTGCCCTGGGCCCATGGACTCTTTTGATTAACCGAAGGCGGGTGAGGAGATACAATGGTTTGCGCGTCCTGGCTTCACGCTAGCGTGTTTTGTTGACCTTGTCGTGTGTGTGTTGTCATGGTTTGCCAACGGGTTGGGGTGTTTGTTGTTTTCCAGGCTCCAAGAAGTCTGTCTGTGCTAGTATGCATATATTCATCATGCATGGCATCGAGCAGATTCCATAATCTCTCCATCCCCGCTACACTGCAGTTTGTTCTGTGAAACTTCTCAATAAACCCCCTGGCGCTTTCCTTCTGCGTAACGTATCCACAGATGTGAAGCGAACAAAGTGTTTGCCGTACGGCCTCTCTTTCTCTCTCCCTCTCTCTCTTTCTCTCTCTCACTCTCTCTCGCTCTCCCTCTCTCTTGTTCGCTCTCTCTCCCTCTCTCTCTCCATCGATCTCTCTCTTGCGAATCGAGACCTCCGCTGCCGTCAACAGGTTCGGCGATACAGTATGCACCCTGTTCTCACTACCTCTGACTTTCACCACCCTATCCCGCAGGCTGATTTAGCTCGACTCTGAGCTTGCCTCGCTCCCTCCCGGTCTCTCCTTCCCCTTCCCCTCACAGCCGCGAGTGCAGTATTAGTACATCCCACAGGTACAACCACTCACCAGCCGGCCAGCCAGCCTCTCGTCGTGAGAAAGAGGAAGACCTTTCAGCACATATCACAGGGTTCCATACTTCCGAGGAATACTACCATAAAAGAGAGAGGACATGGCTCGTGCGTCTTCGGTGCTCACGGTCTTGGGGTCGCTCCTCCTGGCATCGACCTGCCAGAATGCCTTCGCGGCGGTGCACCGCGTGAAGCTGTCGAAGCGCCCGGACAAGGAGTTCGTCAACTCCAAGCTGGACAAGGCCCACCACCGCCACCATGAGGGCGCTGAAGAGCCTTCGAGGTGAGGCGTTGTTTGATAGGCTGCGGAATTCGCGTGGGCAGCGTTTGGTGTATGTGACCATCCGGATGATTTTCTTCTGCTTTGGAGTCGTTTCGAGCGCAACAGTGCCGAGCGATAGCAGAGTTAGCGAGCAAAAAAAGAACCTTTGGTTACGGGGGCACACGGGTGGGACCGAGGGGTGCATGCTTCCACCATGCGGAAAACCATTGGAGGCGTCACTTGGTGTTTTCCTCCCAAGACGTTCCATACGCATCACTCGCGGTCTCATTCTGACTGGATAACCCCCCAACCCCCCACTTTTGTGTATTTTATGTTGTGTCTTTCAGGCCCGAAGAGGGTGTCCTGCAGGCGAACCTCCGCGGCGCAGTGGAGCAAGTGCTCATGAGCGAGGTGAAATAATATGATTCGTAGTTGGCGGGACTGAGCTTGTTCGTCCTCGTTCACGAATAGCAGTAGATACCGCTTGTCGTGCCTGACATCATCAGGGCGTTTGCAGCAATCTTAAAATCTGTAATTCATTGACTTGTTCGCTCTTCACCTGTGGCTTGACGGATTCTTGAACGAGCAAGTATAGGCTAGGTTTTGTTTTGCGGAAAGGAACGTAGACCTGCAGCAGCGAGAGACGAGGTGGTACTATTCTGTGGCCGCGGCAAGAAGCCCGTTCTTTCGAACTGCTAGTCTTTCTTTGAGATCATGGACACTTTCAAAAAAAAATTGTCCGTGTTTCGCGCTGCACGTGCTTCCCCCCCTCCATCACGTCTCTCGCTCTCGCTCTCTCTCTACACCTCACCTCCGTTCCCTGGTCATCTGTCCCTCCACTACTTGCATCGTTTATGTTGTTTCTCGCTGACGCTCCCCTTCCGTCCGTCTCCGCAACGATATCTCCATTCTTCATGCTTCTTAGCTGGAGACGAGCGGAGAGGGCAAGGTGATCGTCAAGGACTACCAAAACGCCCAGTACTACGGACAGGTATGCTACCGGCCAGTTCTGTTGGCGTTGGCTGTGGTTGTGTGGTGGTAGGGTATCCCCTCCCTGCTTGTTGTTATGTCGTCAGGCAGTCTCTCTAAACTCTCCAAGTCGAGGATGGTAACATATTCCCTGTTTGTGGTTAACCTTCAGTCCGAGATTCCTCCGCCATACATGTAGCCGACTCCAACTCCGCTGCTGACACCAAATATTGCCCTTTAAACGTTGCCCTCTCCTTTCCATCCTCTACCTAGAGCCATGCATTATTTTATCCCTTAAGCCACAACCTCATTGCCATGCGTAACCCCTGATCCCGCAAGGTGGAGATCGGCACGCCACCTCAATCGTTCGAGGTCATCTTCGACACCGGGAGTGCCAACCTTTGGGTGGCCGGGAGCAAATGTGGCTTGTCGTGTGGCCTGCACTCTCGCTACGCGGCGTCCAAGAGCTCCACCCATGCTGAAGTGAGTCGTCGTCGTCGTCGTCGTCGTCGTCGTTTCTGTAGTTTGTGGTGGTGGTGGTGGTGGTGGTGGTGGTGGTGGAGTGATTGTCGTTGTCGTTTCTTTTGTTTGCGGTGGTGTCGTTGGTGTCGTTGTCGTCACGTGTTCTGTTCCCAGTTGTTTTTTATTGTTTGCGGGTGTTGTCGCTGCTGATGAGGGCGTTCCTGCTTGTCTCGAAGACACTTCGTACTCAAAAGTGTGTGGAATGCCTCCGTCAGCGTGTCGGCTTCTCAAGCAGCCTCTCCGCCACGTGCGTGTCCACCCTATCCTGTTTCATGGATTCCCTTATTTCGATTTTGTTCTCGTGGACTCTTCTTCTTTCCCTGCTGCAGGACGGGCGTGACTTCGAGATCACTTACGCTAGCGGGCCAGTCAGCGGGTCCCTGTCTGCGGACACCGTCACGTGGGGTGGCATCCAGCTCAAGGACCAGACATTCGCCGAGGTATCTACCTATGATATGAGGCCCCTACTCTACACAACTGACACGCCTCGATATTATCTGCGTTTCTTTTGTCTTTCTTGTTGCGTAGGCATGGTGCTGCATGCGCTGTTAAGCAGTTTCTTCTGGATGGCGGCGTGCTACAACCTGTCGATGTGTTGGTGTCTAATCGATAGAGAGGAGGAAGGCCGACCATACGCAACTTTGTTGTTTTTGTATTGGTGCGCTTGTGTTCTATTATACTACACTTACTCTATAATAGTTGGAACGTGAGGTTGTGCCCATCGACGAACTGTGAAAAAACCCGAAATGATGGGAGACCCGAGTTATTGTGGGTGACAGACTTTGGCGCGCGCGCGCGCGCCGTTCCCGTGCCGCTCTTACGTGTACTGTAGACTAGAAATTCCACCCAATGGGGCTGGTTTAGGGTTCACCTCGTTCGGGAAGGCTTGGGCCGCCTTCGCCTACCGCGCCGCCGTCGGACGCTCGTGCTGCACGCGTAGCACGTAGCCAAACCTTGTGAAATACCGCATCAGCACCAAGTTGCGGGAAAACGTAGCTGCGTTGGGTTTCCCTGCGGGTGCCCGAGAGTCGGTCGGCCGCACAAAAACCAAGGGAAAAAAGGACGGGGCAAGAGTGCACGAAGCAAATGATGCCGCACACGAAAAAAAAAAGCGAATCGGGCCTCTCCCGGGTGTGTACCCACTGTAGATTCTCTCGAGGGACTTGCCTGAAGGTGGTGTTGGACGTCTGGATTGATGTCGCCGCCTTCGTTTCGTTTCCATGAGTCCGCGGTCCGAATTGTGGGAACGAACCGAGCGAGGCGACATGCAAGAAAACGTCGACCGCGACACCACCGTCAGCGGAGCCCCTTGCGAGATTCTGCAGGACGTACAACTGGGAGCGGCCCGCCCGACTCGACAAACATGTGCATTTTTTTCTAGTTCAATGCTTTCGTGTATTTTTTCATCGCATGCGTTCCAAAGTGCACGTCAATCAAAGCTATTTTTCCTAGTCGTGAACCTGATCGAATACTGCCTTGTGGCTCTCAACTGCGCCTTAAATGCATGCGAAAACATCGTGTTTTTCCGAGAAAACCACACACCATGCATCCATCCTCGAAAAAGTTTCAGTTGAAGCTGAAAGCCCAAAGTAGCATAATGCCTCTACGCGATTTATCGAAGAACCCCGATGGTCGGCAGAAACGAACTGCGAAGCATTCGTCATGAAGAAGGAGCTCGCAATTGGATTAGAGCTTTCCGTTCGCTTACCGTTCCGCCCTCTATCTTCCGACATCCTCGCACACATAGCTACGCCAATCAGAACGCCGTTTCGGGTGTTTTTGCGTCTCCTCCTTCTCTTCGTCCGGCTCCTATTCTTCTTCCCCCCCCCCCCCGCCCCCCCCCCCGGTGTTTGCCATCGGGGTTGGGTTTTCGTCGCTTGGCAACGACGCCGTATAACATGCTAATTCACTTCGTGAACTCGGCAACCAGGTTACCGTTTTTTTTTTGTTTTGGCGGTAACCATAATGATTGGTCGAGTAGATCATGTTGTGCGGGGTCGAGAACCCTCACTCCGCGCAAGGGGGATGATCGCACCACGTTGTGTTAAATTGGTCAAGCACCCTCGAGGCAGTTACACAGCGCTTGCAACTGTCTCGGGAAGTGAAAGCACCAGAAATTA